TTTTTTTTTTTTTTTTTTTTTCCAGTTTGATCCAGCTGCTAACGTTGCGTGATTTCGACACGGGTGTTTTTCTGTTCCGCTCTTGTCAGCTGAGGTTAATATCGGCCGGAGCCACCGGGCTTTGAAATCCTCTTAATGAAACCGAAATGGGGAGCTCGGGAATCCATGCGCGATGCCGGGCGTGTGAGGTTTTTGGAGCTTTTTCCTGAAATCCTGGTGGCTAAAAGCATCTCCCTCTCTCGTTCCAGGAGTACACCTGCCCGCGGTGCGAGTCCGGCTTCATCGAAGAGGTCACAGATGATTCCAGGTAACGCCCGCGTCGGTGCGCCGCCGCCCGCTCACGTTTCCTCTCGGTTTATCCCATCCCTGGTGTAAAGCCTCTAAAAACCGTGGACACCGAGGATAAAATAAGGAATGGGGAAAAAAAAAAAGGGATTTATTAGCGGGAATTTGGGCTTCGCAGCAGACGAGGCTGAAAATCGAAGCGTGGGGATGGCTCCCAGGAGGATGGGAGTTCGGGATTAGGGCTGGCCGGTGAACAAAAGCGCTTACGGGTTTTAGGTCCGTTTCTTTGGTCTCTTAGAGCGAAAAGTGTCATTTTTTATTAATTGAGCTGGAGTCTTAGTGGCTCATCTTTCTTTTTCCCCTCTCCTGGCCCCAGCTCAGCCTCCTGTATGCTGCTCCCGTCTCGCAGCTCAGGCCAAGAGGAGGAAACACCTTTTCTCTCTGAATTGGGTGGGTGCTCACTCTCCCTGCAAATCCAGGATCCAAAATTTCTTTTTTTTTTTTCAGCATCGGTGCCCATCGCTTCGGGCAGGATCGGGGGGGTCCTCTGGGGTGCTGAGCGCCCGATCCCCTTTGCAGAACGACGATGCTCCATCCCCAACGCCTCCTCCGGGGAGGCTCCTCCGCAGCCCGGAGATTTACAAACTAGGGCTCCTGCCAAAACTTTTCCTGCGGTCGGGTTGTGCACAGCTGGCACGTAAACAAACCTTTTAATTGTCATAGTCCTTTTTCATTTAATAGTCTTTTTCCCATCCCTAGGAATTATTCCGCTGTCTTGGCACGGGCAGGCTCGGTTTGCTCATCCCTTTCTCTCCCAGCCCACGCCGGGACTGTCTGAGCTCCGGTCAGGATTTAACCCCAGGAGGGGAGCGGGTTTTTGGAGGGGTGACCTGCTCTCACTCACCTCTTTCTCTCCAGTTTCCTCGATGGCAGCGGCATAGACGACAGCCCGTCCACACAGTTTGCAGAGGTGAGTTTTACTCTCTTGTTTTGTTTTTTTTAATTTTTTAAATTTGTCACCTTGCAAAGAGGTGTTCAGTCCCGGCTCCAGCATCTTTATTTGCTGCCTCGTAAAAGGGATACAGCCCATCTTCCAAAGGGTTTTCAGGAACTTGGCACATTTTGCAGGGTCTGTTGACATTCCCGGGGTTGAAACCTCCCAGAGGTTTGTTCACTGGGCTGGGCAGGAAAAAAAAAAAGACGCGAGAAAGACGCCCTGACCCCTGGTGCTGGCAGACGCTGGGACGTGTGACAGTGACGCTCGGCCAGCCGGGGAGGGTGTTCCCCGCCCGCCCTTTCCTCCCTGCTCATTCCCGCTCCGCGTTTTACCACAAATGCAACTAAAGCCTAAAAATTCCAAACTTAGAACACAAATCCCTGTGCTGTAATGTGGTTGTTTGGACTCCGGAGCCGGGGCTGCTGGGCAGCGAGGGCTGGAAGCGGCTTTTCTCACCCTGTTTCCAGAATTTTCGAGCATCCAGGCAGAGCTGAGCTCTGCGAACATCCCCCCTGAGCTCGTGCCGGGGTCACGCAGGGCTGGGGGCTGCGGCGGCAGCTCCTCGTCCAGGCCCGGGGAGGGAACGGCGGCTTTGGGCTCCGAGCGCAGGCTCCGTTCCTCAGAGTTCAGCCAAGCTGGGTAAAACATGGAAAGAAAATCTCTCTGCGTCTGCTCAGGGAGTTCTTGAGGAGTTTGAGCTGTTTCTCCGCCCTGCTAGGCTCCTCGCAGCTCCCCAGTGTCTTGGGTGGCAGCTCATCAGCCGGGTTATCCCCGGGGAGATTTGGGGGGGTGGGTTGTTGCTTCGCCTTCCTTCGGCAAAGCCACTCGCTTCCGTGCCAGAAACAGGGACACAAAGAACTGAAATTCCTCCGCAGCTTCGCCTTTGGGCTCTGGATCCCTCCTGCTCGCGTCCACGCTCCCTGCGTGCGGCTGCTTTGCCTCTTTCCTCCTCGGCGCCGGGTCTCAGAAATGTTTTCGC